TTCTGCAGCTCGGCGGCGAATACATCGCCGAAAGCGCCGCCGAGATACCTCTGGGCGGCGATCATGAAAGCCCCAGAGTTATGATACTCGGTATCATCGACGAGCCATTCAGGGGCCTCGTCCTTGGGAGCAGGGAGGGCTGGGACGAGCTTGAACCCGGCCTTCTCCAGAACCGCGAGCTTCGCGGAGGACTCGCGGGCTACCTTCAGGGCGGCCTGCAGTTCTTTGTCCTTGGCCGCCAGCTCTTTCTCCTGAAGACGAGCGGCCTCTCTCGCCTTCTTCAAGGCCGCATCTGCCTTTTTCTTGGCCTGAAGGGCATCGGCTTCCCGAGCAGCCTCGGCCTGCAGCGTAGAGAGTCCAACCTACAAAAGAGACACAGAGGATGAGACTTCAAATCAACAGAATACGGAAATCTACCGCCCAGCGAGAGGCGAAGTCTCACCTGAAGAGCGGCGGCCAGAACCGCATTGGAGGCCTCCGAAGACGTCCGGGGAGGCACTTCCACGCCGACCAGAGAGGCAATCTCCTGCCAGACATCATGAGCCGGACGCCCAAGGGAGGGAAGGATCAACTCCTGCTCTTCGGGGGCCGAAGAGGAGGCCCCCCGGGGCCTCTTGGACTTCTTGTCCTTCGCCTTCTCTCCCTCAGGGGGATGGACGGCCTGTAGAGGTGCCACGACCTCGGGAACGCCAGGATTAAGGATTGGGGCCTGGGACCCCTGCGCCATCACCGTGGCGATGAGGTGCTGTTCCGCCTCCACCGTGCGACGATCGGCCTGGGAGGCGGAGGAGTTAGAATCTGCTGTTTGGGCGGTCTTGGCCTTGGCAAGGGCAGCATCAGCGGCAGCGCCTTTGCCTTTCCTCGTCCTGAGGAGCTTCTCGTGATTCATTTGTTCTTGGGTCGGGGGGAGACCTGAAAGGAAAATGGGAAATGTGTTAGATGGACGAGCGTCAGGAATGACTCACCTCGGAGGTCAGGACCGCCCAGTACCCCGAGACGAGCGTAGGAGGAAAGATGCCCGAGAGTATGGGCGGTACCTATTCCTGCCGCGGCAAGTGCCTCAAAAGTTAGGAAGTCGTCTAAGGGCCGGACGCCGCCCGTCGAGATCTTCCTGATGTCTTCCTCCAGATCGTCGGTCAGCTCCGGGGACCCTATCTTGGGCGGATAGCCATTCCACCGTAGTGGCAGACGAGCATCCGCATACCGCACAAAGAAGAACCGATTCTTCCAATCATGGATGGAACTCGGTGCTCCGGTGAACAACCTCCGCTTCGGACGGGCTGCGATGCTCAGGAAACCATCGGAATTTTGGGGGGTGAGCCGGTAGAAGTAATGGAACAGATCCAAAGTGGCGGTGACCCCATTGTCCTTGCAACGGACTAGGAAGGCGGAGAGCCACCGATAGGAATTCGGCATGAGTTGTGCGGGGGCTATCTGGTAACAACAGAAGAATTCCACAAAGAACGGATGGAGAGGGAAGCGCAGCCCAGCCTCGATGGAGTCCAGAAGCACCATAATCATCCCTGGGCGTCTCCTCATCACGTGGGTTGCGCCACGGAGGCTGTATACGGACGGAGGGGGGAAGAACACCTTGAGCTTGTTAAGGGCTACCGGCGAGAAGATCTGCTCGTGGCAGAGGACGTTCTTGATCGGGCATAGATGCCTCTCCACATCTATCTTTAGCCCAAGATCAAACACTTCGATGTCGGAACCATCCTGGGCCTCGACCCCAGAGTCATATCCGTCCGGACGACCGTCCTCACTAGCGGACTCCTGTTCCCCGACGTCGGCCACGGGTTCCACCACATCGAGGGCCATATTGTCTTGCTCCCCCGAATCAGCACCCTCCTCACCAGGGACAGTCTTAACAACACCAATTTGGGCTTCCCCGGCCTGAACAGTTCCCACGGTAGGGGCCGAGCCAGAACTACCGGAAGTGCTAGTTTCGCCCGAGGAGCGTGAACCGGAGTCGGAAGAGGAGCCCGAGGGAGAACCTGAGGAACCCGAACCAGAACTTGACGAGATCTCCATCGAAACCATCTCGGCGAGAATTCAAGACAAGAAAAGAAGCAGAGGATGAAAATTACCTTAGAGAGGGATTAGCCGAGCTTGGAAGCAGCAGAAGGCTCGAAGAGCTGCGGGAATTCGGAAGCAGGAGAGCAGAAATCGGGAACCCTAATCCAGGGGGGAAACCCGGCATTTATAGGAGAAACACCGAAGGGGGAGCCAACGAAGGGCTGACACGTGGCAAGGAGCGTATTCCGGCCCACGCGCTGTGCGTGGGGCGGAAGCGTAATGATGACATTTCCTCGGAAAATGCACCGCCGTTTCAGCAGCCGTCACATCGTTTCCTGAACCGTCGACAGCTGTGAAGCACCATGACCACGAGCGTACGCTTCCACCAGGTGCACTAAATGCAAGTATCAAGACACGAACGTCTGCTTCGAGGGGGTTTATACTTCCTTATGTCCTGCGCATGCTCAGAACATCAGAAGTGGGGGACTTGTGTTGGGTTAAGGGCCCAAGCCGAGGCCCGGCCCACTAACCCGTTCTTCACCAGACGTGCGTCCAGATCAGACCACAAGGCCAGCCCACAGGCCCATATTCCTGGGGGAGGGGCGAACGTCTGGGATTGGGAGTTCAGACCCAGCGGCTCACCCCGACGAACGTCTATTCAGAGAAAAAGAGCAGGGCCACAACCTACCAGGGGATGACGACGAACGTCCCCATGGCAAGCCTATAGTCATCCGAGGAAATCCAGTCCACATGGAGAGAATCCATAAGGCCAGGAGACGAACAGCCGAAACCTCTGGAGGATCACTTGGAGCAATCCAGCTCGCTTCCCAGGCGGACGAACGTCCCCATTATTTAGGCGGGAAACCTAGATTCTGGCGGGAAGTGCATTTAATGCTGAAGATTTGGTGGTTGGGACACAAGCGGTCCACAGGCCTCCACGTCAGCATAGCCACCTGCCCATTGGCGGGTATAAATAGAAGCATTTATTTCATTGTAAGGGGTTGGCAACTTTCTATTCTTAGCACTCTAGCTATAGCATCCTTACTCGCAGCACTTCTACTGCCTTGTAAGACGAACGGCCGACGGAGCCTTAGCGGAAAGTATTGTATTAGGGAGTTATTAAGAGATAATAATACCTAATCACTTACTTGCTACCTTTACTGTTTCTTGACCCCTATTATCTGCTTGTTGGGCTAGTTTATTCACACATACTCCACTCGAAATCCTTGGGCTTACGTGTTGGACCCGGGGGTTGAAGGAATAAACCTCAACACATAGTAAAAGAATATATATCACTTTATTCAAAGAAGAAACTTATATAACTGACTAAAATAAAATATAAAGATTAATATATCTAGCTCATAAAAATCGCGGGGTGTTACAGTTACATTCTATTGATTCATAATAAATCTAATAATTAGAAATATCATGAAAATAGTAAAGTAAAATATGTGCAATCAACTACAAGTGATTTGAGTTATTTTGTATTTATAAAATTTATGTGATGAAACAAAACTTGATTTGTAGAAAGGAGTTTAATGTATTATATCAACGTCATGTACAATATTTATTACTTCGTTTTCGTTGATTAAATTAGAATTGTTAGTTAAATATCTTATATTGTTTTATTATTATTGTTGTGGTGGTGGTTATTATTGCTATTATATTATTATTATTATTGTTACTACTACTACTACTACTAATATTATTTTATTTTTTAATTTTTTAATAACGGTTCCTTAACGGTTCCATGCATATTTTTTTTTATAGGAACCAGGAACCGAACCGTTATAACTCGTTTCGGTTCGGTTCCTACAAATAAGGTATTAATTGTTAACTGTTCGGTTCCTAGATGTTGTTAACGGTTCGGATGATCGGATCCAATCGGTTCTACGGTTCCCGGTTTCAAAATCCCACCCCTAGGTAGGACCAAAGATACTCAGAATATAGCCCAGAGGCCCAGCAGCAAAATGGGTCCTCCGTCGGCCAGACCCTCCGTCGGCCAGGAACACCACAACAGAATGAGGTTTTATACTTAGTCAAATAAATCATATACTCAGTCCATTAGAGGCCTTATTATTGTAATGAGTCTCCTAAGCTCAAAGCTAGGAGCCCAAACCCACATTTCCCCTATAAATAGCCCCTACGAGGTAGTTATAGGGGGTTGAGAAATATTAATTGGTCACTTCTCTCTAGCTCTCACTTCTCTCTAAGATTAAATACTCTATCATTTCTAATTAACGATATTTTCAATTGCAATCAATTTTTTGATCTCATTTATGAAAGTAAAAGTTATTTTTACTTTAGTGTTATATATTAATATAATTTTGATATATTTTGGTCGAGAGTTCCAACTCTAAGAAACGTTTTGTTAATTACATATATAACAATCATATCGTGAGACTAAAGTGTTACTCTAAAAGTATACATTTTACTCATGGATGTAACTTAAATATAGTACTGTTTGATGATGAAATTTGATATCATTTTTCACTTCTGAAAATGGGGCGTTTTTATTTTTATTTTTCATTGCATAGTTTGACATGTTTATGTTTCGATTATGGCTACTTCTTGATGTGACGAGAATCTTTTTATAGGTTTTATTCATCCGACTTTCTAAGTAAAAATTGCCTAAAAGTCTTAAAGCATGCAACTTTTCTTCGTTCAATACTTCAATAACACTTATTTTACTTAACAAAATCATATATACTTCCAATATAATAACTCAATCTAATGAAAAATAAATGATCACTACCAATCACAATATGTATGCACCCTATTGTCTCCGCCATCGCCTTTATTAAAATCGGAATGTAACAAAATATATATTTTAAACTCTTTTCTTAAAGAAAGAGATCAAAAGACTAAATTGAAAATTTCTGAAACCTAGAAGGACTAATATCTTAAAAAAATTGACAACACCTTACTTTTAGATAAATAAATAAAAAAAAATGTGTAGTTAGTTTACAAAAAATAGTATGTCACGAATGAAATTTAATGAATAAAAATAGACACTAAACATTTTCTTTTTGTTTAAGTAAAACTATATTACTTTCAATTGGATGCAGCTGTGTTATAAAAAAACGTATGCTCTTTTTATTAGAAAATATAGACCGGAAACATGTTTAGATAATTACTTAAAAAATAAGGCATACTGTTGAGATATATTATCTCGGTCCATTACTGTTCAGGAGCCCAAGACTGTACGTAGTACGGAGCCCGATCAGCGAGGCCTATTTCCTGCCTATCAGGACTATTTCGGCCTTTGGGCCCATTTTGGGCTTACTTGGCCCATTAGGGTAGACTTATTCCCTACTCCCTTTCCCCTGTAAATATGGGGCTTCCCACTTGTTTAGGGATCTTTTTCCTTCTTCTTCTTTCTCCTTAGATTAGCTTTATCCTTCATTAATGGAGGTTCAACATTTGTACCTTGTAATGGTGAGGTGAGTCCTACTGAGAATGAGAGGGCTTGGACATTAGCCTAAAAAGTCTCGTGGTTTTCTCCCTTTCGGGTTTCCACGTAAAAACTGAGTGTTCATACACATTTATACATATATTTACTATATCGTGTTGGATTAAACTCAACCTGGTGCCGTCTGTGGGAATCAATTCAAAAAGATTACATGTGTTCTTCATTTTTTGGCAAAGATTCATACGAAAAGGAATTGATATTCAACAAAAAACATTTGGAATTTGGGTCTGGAAGAGCTCTGACCAAGAGATTACATGTGGTTCTGGTCCTCTGGAGCTGCAAACCCTTTTCCCAGAATACTCTTGTTTGGAAGTTAGAGAGAAGGCTAATAAGTGATGTCAAATCACAACCAATTAATCCACTGCCTGCTGCTACACCAATTCAAGGTGTAGATTGCCACGTTTCATACCAACAAAAGATCTATCCAGAATTACGACGTGCGTATAATTGTATAAAGTTAGGGAAGGAGAATAACGCCGAACGATATTTCCCCTTTGAAATCCACACCTTAGACCATTTGGAGTGGTGTAAGAGTCCAAATGTCAAAAATGGACTCCGTCGATACGAAAACAGTGTTTTGACTCCTATTCTCTGCATTCCAGCACCGTCAATAGAATACACTCTGCACATTTTTTTACATATCAATTTAGTAAAACATTAATTAAATTATTATAAGTAATGTTTTCTTTTTAATTTTTTCTCCGATTAATTATAAAATAAAAAAGACACATTTCGATGTAAAAAAAAATAAATTTCATTAATTTTTTTTTTCATTCAAACAGTGCCAAGATCATCACAACCGTTGGATCTTTCAAAAGTTTTTTTTTTAAAAAAACCAGTCGTTGCTAGTGAATGCTGACATCATGCTGACGTCACCGTGACGTCAGCGAGGGAAAATAATTCGGCTCTAGGCCTCTGCTCCCCGCCTGCGCATAGCAGGTATGCCCCCCGCTCCCTTTTTCTTTTCTTTTCCTTTTTTTGGCTGTCCAAAACTCCTCCATATTTAACCCCTTCCCTCCCCAAACCCATTTTTAATACCCTCTATACTCAACCAATGTATGAAATTAGGAGTCCAAAAATGCCATTTTAACATTTTGGACTCCTAATACCTCACCACTCCATTTGGTCTTACTGACATCGTCAAGGGAAATGACCCTCAAGAATATCCTCGAACGAACCTCGAGCGGCAGGCACATCTCCTGAACGGTTTCTTGGCAGGGCAGCATCCGGACGAGACCCAGGACTAGCAGCAGAACGTCCGTTGTTTCCCACTTCCGAGTGGCGGAACTCTTCATTAACCGGGGTTCTCATAGTTGTTGGTGATTTTAGTGTCACCGGCCGTTTTGTGTAATTGGAAATGACATGAGTGCCAATGAGAATTAGAACTATGATCTAATATAAGTTAGTAGGTGTGGAGTGCACACTTGTATATAAGAACTAGTTTAGTTCCAAAGTGTCTACGTTAGTGGAACTCGAGGTAGAACTCGAGGTATAACTTTCAGTAGACCAGCTTTGTGGTTCTAGACCGAGTTCTAGAACGGTTAGACAGTTTCCAGCAGTTTCCCAAAAACTGCTGCGGTTATTCTTAATCGTGTTACAACTGCCTAGGACGATGAATATGGATATATACCACCATATTTCGTACAGAGGAGGAAGAGGAATAATATCCAACATATCTTCATCACTTTGGCACTCAAATTAAATATAACAATCCATATACTCACTAGTTTGGCTCTAGTTCTTGTGCCTAAGTTCTAGAGTGTCCTTAAGGATTATACTAGATTGAATTTCTTGTAACCCAGACATAGGGGAGAAATATCAATTCGGAAAGTGAACTTACACGATCCTTAAGATATCCAAGTACTCGAATTATCACCCGTACGTGATTTACCCCAACAATAGTTAGCCCATGCAAGCCGCCCGGCATCTGGTCCAATTGCCGCCCAGCGGATTAGGAAAAATAGCCCATGATTTACCGAACAGGGCATATAAATACCTGCAAGAATGTGCATACCAAAACGAAGATCGCCGGCCGGACTGAAGGTCCATTCCATTAATTACAGCCTCTCTTGTTGGTGATGAAGATCGCCACTCTGCTCATACGCACGTCAGGGTTGGCTGGACGCAGACTCTCACCGCCGCTCGGCCTCAGGGGCAGTTTCAGATGCGCAATTTCAAGGAGGCTGGTACCGTCTCGACTCCTCCTGGAAGCACAGCTCTAACTGGATTGCCGTCCGGGTTTGTGAGAAGATGAACGGAATATGTCTCAGCGCAAACGGCAGGCCACCGGTCGATCTGGCTCGGCTCGCAGAGATGCCATCATTATGCAGTACAGTCTCCCGCAGAGGTACTGCACATCTTGCCGCAGATTACCAACGGCGGACCCTTCATTGGGTAACTCGGATCAAATTTGACTCACCGCTCGGCCTACGGTTGATAGCCGCACGGCTTTTGATTTTAGCACAGGCATCTCGATTGCATGAAGCACTGTCCTCTTGCTGCTGCGAGGAAAGGAAAGGCGCGGCTGACTGACTTACTCGCCGCTCGTCCGAAGCCAAATCCCCACCGAACGTCCGCGGCCAAATAATGGAAGCCCAATCATTTTGGAAAGTTTGGACCAAGTCAAATTGAGGAATTCCAGCAAGACTAGGCCGAAATCCTTGCCTAAGATGTGGGGCCCAACTGATTGCTTAAGTTGACTAAGTCAAATTTGCAAAAGGGGAGCAAAGTACAAATTCAGGAGCCTCCTGGCCGAGCGTCTCCTTAAGCTAAGTAATCAATATCTCAAATTGCTAATTATATTTTAACTAGTAATTCTTATTACTAGTATTTACATCACTATTATTTATTAGGGATAAAAATGTCCCGAAATAAATAATGCCGAGCGAAGCTTGGGGATGAGCTTCCACCGACATGTTGATTTAATAATTAGGGGACGAGCCGAGCCAAGGGTCATCACACCCCAAGGCCGACGGTCACATCCGGAAGAGCCCCAGATATAAAAAAAATTGTGCACATATACATATTGCCTGGCCATTTGGCCGCGTTACCATGTTCATTGTGCAGATAAAAGATTATAATCGGGACGACCGATAAGAGATGATGCTCAAAATGAATCTTGGCGCCAAGATCTTGGAAACGAGCATCTTCCACCCCAAGAGCCAAGGGCCGTGGACGATCATCTCCTCCCCAGAGGCCGAGCGTCTAAAGAAGACCATCAAAGGCCAAGGGCTCAGAGACGAGCATCTTCCACCCCAAGAGCCAAGGGTCGTGGACGATCATCTCCTCCCCAGAGGCCGAGCGTCTAAAGAAGACCATCAAAGGCCAAGGGCTTGGAGACGAGCATCTTCCACCCCAAGAACCTAGGGCCGTGGACGAGCATCTTTCACCCCGGATGCCGAGGGCCCGAAGACGATCATCTATCGTCCAGTGACCTAGGCCGGGGGACGAGCATCCTCCACCCCAGAAGCCGAGGATCTAAAGAAAACCATCAAAGGCCAAGGGCTTGGAGACGAACATCTTCCACCCCAAGAGCCAAGGGTCGTGGACGATCATCTTCCACCCCAAGACCAAGGGCCGTGGATGATCATCTCCTTCCCGGAGGCCAAAGCTCGGGGACGATCATCCATCACCCGGAGGCCAGAGCTCGGGGACGATCATCCATCACCCGGAGGCCAAAGCCCGGGGACAAACATCCATCACCCGGAGACCAAGGGCTTGGAGACGAGCATCTTCCACCCCAAGAGCCAAAGGTCGTGGCCCGTGGACAATCATCCATCACCCGGAGGTCAGAGCTCGGGGACGATCATCCATCACCTGGAGGCCAAAGCCCGGGGACGATCATCCATCACCCGGAGGCCAGAGCTCGGGGACGATCATCCATCACCCGGAGGCCAAAGCCCGGGGACGAACATCTTTCACGTCGGAGGCCAAGGGTCGGGAGACGAGCTTCTCCACCCTAGAGGCCGAGGGCTTTGAGACGCGCAACACATCCTGAGACCGAGCATGCCCAGGCTGAGCATGTTGAGGTAGAAATGTCCCAAGGAGACCCAACCTAACATCTTGAGGTCGAACGTCTCTAGGAATAGGCCGAGGATTGTCGCTGTATGACGACTCCGAGGACTGCTACCGGGTCGTGCATCAAAAGCAAAGACACATCTAGGCCGAGTTTTTAGGGACAAACGTCCAAAGGAAGTTGGGTCGGGTTTCTAGGGACTAATCTTCCTAAGCATGTCGGGCCGAGAATCCAGAAGGAAAATTCCAGAGCCCCAGCAACTAGAGATAGACCGGGCCGACTGTCAAGGGGTCGGACGTCCAAGGAAGCCCAGCCTAGCATCTGGAGGTCGAACGTCTCTAGGAATAGGCCGAGGATTGTCACTGTATGACGACTCCGAGAGCTGCAACCGGGGTCATACATCAAAAGCAAAGACATATCTAGGCCGAGTTCCTAAGGGTCGAACGTCCAAAGGAGGTTGGGTCGGGCATCCGTGGGCCCAACGCCCCAATCCCTCACACCAAGGCCAAGGCATTGTTAAGCCTTTGCTCCAAAAGCCAAGGCCATGCATAAAGCAGAGGAAGAGCGTAGACAAGAGTATACTTTCTCGAGCAGATTCACACGCTCACTACTCAAGAAACTAGGGGACTTGTGTTGAGATATATTATCTCGGTCCATTACTGTTCAGGAGCCCAAGACTGTACGTAGTACGGAGGCCGATCAGCGAGGCCTATTTCCAGCCTATCAGGCCTATTTCGGCCTTTGAGCCCATTTTGGGCTTACTTGGCCCATTAGGGTAGACTTATTCCCTACTTCCTTTCCCCTATAAATATGGGGCTTTCCCACATGTTTAGGGATCCTTTTCCTTCTTCTTCTTTCTCCTTAGATTAGCTTTATCCTCCATTAATGGAGCTTCAACATTTGTACCTTGTAATGGTGAGGAGAGTCATAATGAGAATGAGAGGGCTTGGACATTTGCCTAAAAAGTCCCATGGTTTTCTCCCTTTCGGGTTTCCACGTAAAAACTGAGTGTTCATACACATTTATACATATATTTACTATATCGTGTTGGATTAAACTCAACACATACTCAATAAATTAGAATATGCATTTTAAACCAATGTTATAATCGATTAAATAAGTTATTTTCCGTTAGTAAAACTAAACAAAAAAATTACTTTATCCCGTGCACGACACGGGTAAAAATACTAGTTAAAATGTATATTTAAAAGTATCCTGTTTGGCAATTTTTAAAAGTAAAAGTTACAAATTAATCTGAAATTTTGGCTGAAGCGTCTGAATTGATTGAATTTGCTGAATTTGTGAAAAATTATATTTAAAATATATTTTGTTAATAAAATAAATAAACAAGGCGAAATTCATACGAATAATCCCTACTTTTGTGCATTCTACAATAATAATCCCTACTTAGAGTGTCCATAAAAATAATCCGTACTAGCAATAGTGCCCACAAGAATAAATTCAGAGTGAAATCAAACTAATTCCCATTTACTACTAGCAACCCCTACCTCACTTTCATCTTCCTCACTTTTCGTCTCGATTAACACTTTTATGTTTCAACCTATAGAAAATCACATATGGCGAAAATTGTGTTACGATTAAACGGATTTTAGTTTGAATTTGTCTCGAGAAGAAGAGTATGGGAGAGAAAAGTGAGAGTATAATGGGTGAAACTATTAAATGTGCATTAATTTAAATTCACCCCAATTTATTCTTATGAACATCATTGTTAGTACGAATTATTTTTATGAACACTCTAAGTAGGGATTAATTATTGTAGAATGCACAAAAGTAGAGATTATTCTTGTGAATTTCACTAATAAAAAAAGAAGAAATACTAAAGTTTGTAACAATTTCAGCCGATTTAGCCAGAAAAGTATGTTCAACCTACTTATTATTACAGGATTCAGGATTCAGTGCGTAAATCAAAAGTGACATAGTTGCTAAAATGGTTGATAAGGCTGACTAACAGTAAAAGGCGTTACCAAACGGTTTTCTAATATTTTATAGTGTGAGAGAAATCAAAACTTACATATTTCTTTATTGTTGTACTCCGTATATAACTACTCACATTTATATATTACAGTGAGATTCTATTTTTGTGTCGAATTAAATGAGCGTTTTAACTGACAGCGCATACAATTGAATTCAATAATCATTAAGAACGTAAGAAGCCGTTACTAAGCTCCTGTATTACCGTAATGGTTGATATTGAAATAAATGGAACTCGGTTCAACACTATATTAAAACTATACTACTCCATATAATGTAATTAGTAGTAAATTTATAATAGAAACCAATGTAAAATATTACCTCCGTCTCGCTCAACTTTGTCAACTTTATGTTGAGTAAAAAACTAGAAATACAAAACTGTGTAATTGAGATTCATGCAGAGGAGACAGAAATGAACAGAATCACAAATTGATTGCTTTAAAAGAAAAGAAACATAACTTTTGAGACGGACAAAAAAGCTTTAAAAGAAAAGAGACACAACTTTTGAGTCAGACAAAAAAAACAAGTTAACAAACTCAGAGGGAGGAAGTAAATATTTTGTTCACACCTCATTACAAAGTTAATTTACGCACCTTTCTCACATCCAGCCATCAAGACCAATTTCAAAAGTAGGGAGCATTCATATCAACTGTGATCGCGTGACCGATTTGTTTACTAACCTAGTATTCAAAGAACATCTTCTAACCACTAGCGTTTCTGGCCACATAGTCATTTGGTTAGTGGTCTATCAATCCGCTAATTAGAATGTTTGGTTAAATGTATTTTTATCTAGCTTTTCGTCCTAAACGCCAATAATCCTAGCATTTTCATTTTGGCATTGCTTTTCTTCTTAGTGTCTAATATTCATATTCTACCCTCATACACATGTATTCTCTTAGAATCTCTTCCGATAAATTATCCCTTCTCGTTTGTTGTGATGGTCAAGATCAAAGTTTTCAAGCCTCCCAATTGTGGATGAATATCTAGCATTTGACTTTGGTTTACCAAACATTTAGATAAGGTATTTTACTCTCAGAGAAATTATTTTAATAATTAACTAAAACATTCACTCAATTTTTTTAAAACTCAAACTAAACATTACTTTAACAAATTAAAGACTACTCACTACAAATTAAACATTTATATAAGGAATTTTGCCCCGAAAGAAATTAAAATATTAATTAAATTTATTAATTTCATGAAAAACAATCATAAAGTTATTATTACTTTTGGTAATACATTTTTATTTTATTTTTAAATCATAAAAATGGTTTACCTAGTTGTACTTATTACATTAATAAACAAAATAAATGATGACCTTAGATGTCATTTAACAAATTATCAGCTGATTGTAAACAGTTAATTATCCAAACACCTTGGATATACAACGGTCCAAGACCATCACACTATTGAGGGTCTCTAAAAAAAGCTCAGCCCAAAATGAACAAATACGCTCTATGTCCATATAGTCACCTCGATGTCATCTCCTCGGCCACAGGTCCCATACAATCGCTCAGTAAAAAGACCAACAGAGAACACCTGGCCAGAACTCAGTCATAGAATGACATGCATCAAGTTCTGTTATGCCGCAGGACTCTCGCACATAGAATAGCCAACACGTGTAGTGTAATTAATGTAAAGTCTCATTAATTACTAGTATAAATACACCCCTTGGGGACAGTTGTAAAGGGTTCGAATCCCATTCAACACAAGCTCTTTCTCTCTATGAACTATTAGTCTTCTCTTCTCTCTACTATACCACTAGCGATTGAATGGGAAGTGATGGACTGCCGACCTAGGGGTAGCCGGGTCCAGAACATTAGTTCTAGACTCGCCAGGTATATGGGTCGGGTCTGGAACCCTATACTCGACCCGTTGACAGGCCTAGTTCAATCTATATGTGCAGTTATTATGGACATCGGGCCAAATAAAATAAGTAAGACCAACCAACATAACACATAGAGCACAATCGATTCGAACACAACATATCAGAGAAAGCAAAAGATAAGATCCAAAAGTTTTTCAGGTCTAGAATTAATTTTGATGGTGGTAAATTGAACAAAAACATACCTGAGTATTTCCATTCTTCGTTACAACCGTGTGTATGTTCTCTTTCCATTGCAATTAAGGTTGAATAAAAATAGCACATGATAAAGGATATGTGATAGGAATCAACAGAGACGGAGTCAGGATCTAGGGTGAGTGGTGTCAACTGAGAAAATTAATATTATATAATAACTAGTTTTTTATACGCGCGTTGCGCGATTGGGCAAATGCCCAATGTTATATACAGGTGTAACCCTTTTAGAGAGTTGGATTTTAAATTTGATATAAAAGACTTTGGTGAAAGATTTCGAATGAGATAAAAAATTAGAAGTTTGCACGAAGTCGCTATATAAAAAGGGTGTTTGATACGTTTTCTTTTATTTATAAAATAATGCATGCCAACTTATAAGAGACAAAGGTTTCCATCTTCAATTTGGAAGCAAGAAGAAGAATTAGGCCATGGGAAAAATCAAAGCATCAAATTACTCTTAAGACTGCACACACACACACACACACACTATATGTTGAAGAAATTAAAAGCACGAATTTATAAGCATTTGATCTAAAAAACAGAGTAATCATGAGGTGTGGCTCTCTAGAGATTGAGTGAACTTATTTATATTGCTAAACGGTTTTCACCAGATTAATACAATAGAAATAGAAATTAATGCATGATTACACAATAAAAAGATACATGAGACTTTCATATTAGACAAAGGACCGTCGTTCACCAATTTCCATTTTATAACTCATATCAATACATATGATACAATATTAACTTAGTTTGGTTTATTCCCCAAAAGATCACAAGATAGCACAACACAACGTTGTACATTTCACATACAACAAAGCCAAGAAAAACATCATGTAATCACTCTATTTTCTTTAAATTCTTTTTCTTAACTCCAACCGATGAAACTTCTTAAGTCAAACTTCTGAGAAAGCTGATCGTGCACTTCCTTTCCCCCCGTTCTCTAGGTATCGATAAAGAAACTTACAGACTAAGAGCATCTCCAATGCTATAATGTCCACGGTGCACATGTGGCATGAGTGATAGCCACATAAATATTAGCAAATAAATTAATTTTCTCCTTATTTGAATGATTTTATACAATTTTGGTAAGTTTTTCCCTGCAATGTCAACAACAATGTCAGCATCTAGACGGTCTCCTTGACAGTGTGGAGAAAAACTTACCAAAACTATATAAAATCATTCAAATAAGGAGAGAAAAAATTTATTTATTAATATTTATGTGGCTGTTTCTCATGCCACGTGTGTACCGTGCACATTTTACCATTGAAGATACTCTAAAAGGTTGGTTTTGAAAGTCGCTTGAGGATTTAAATGTTATTTATAAGGGTTATGCTTTGAAGTTTGAATCATAACCGAAAAAATAGAACAAAGCAAACACATGCTGACTGAAAATAACGAATTAAAATCAACAGAAGCTGGCTGACAATAAACAAAATCGACTAAAGTTATGAGGTTTAGTTTTCCTTTTTGCAATTACATAACCAAACAGACAAAAAAGCGAGTTGGCCAAATAAAGACAACCACCCCTAAAGTATGCTGAAATAAGAGTAATCCGGTAGCATAATTCTTTTAACGTTTAGCCTCCTCTTTGACACGGTAATTTTGGCTCCACTACCGACTAATAGTTGATAGTAATCAGATATGATAAGGCACTAGGGAAAGATAATTCAGCTAGCATATGAACCAAGTCTTCTCAAATTACCGGCAACAACCACCTTAGAGTAATTTCACATAAGGAATGGCATCGAGCCGGCAAGAGAAGGGTAAATTATTAGGCAAGTCATGATGTACCTGACTTACAAGATTATTGGGCTATTGCATATTAACTCACAACTGCAGTTAAGATTCACTGTAAAGATTTTGGATATGAAAAAACTGGGATGTGTTCTAACATAGATAACCAAAACTGGGCAGTTGACTTGCCGAATTTTATCTATATTCTGAAAAGAAGAATGCAGCATTCCATAAGTCAGAAACAAAGAAAAATATTGCTTCAAAGGTCAAAAAGAAGATATCAATATGAAGAAAGTATGGCACTATGAAGGACAACAACTCTCGACCTCTGTAAACTACACTCTAAATGTAACGTGGGTCCAGTCCCAACATTTTGGCGGTATAGAATACCATCCTCTTGCTTTATTCTATGCTCGCTCTTCAAGCAATCGTACACAGCCTATATGGCATAGTATGTGTTCAGCTCACATGGTTGTCATATATATCCAAAACAAAAATTCTTCTCAAGAACAAATGTGTAAGAAATCCAAATCATGCAGGGGAGCCTAATAAGTTGGAAAAATTTCTAGGAAGTAGGAGCTTCTTGAAAAGAGTTGGATAGAATGAAAATGTGTCGGGCCAAATTTTATTCATTTTTTTTTACTCCATATCAGTACGCATTTTAGATTTATTAAATTTATGGAAAATCTAAAATCTCTTTGAGCCTTTTGAATGCCAAGGTGAAAAAATCAAGGTGGATATTGATATATCTAATAAAACTTCATACATTTGTCATTCTTTACCTTACCAGAAGATCCACCATATCCCGAATAATCATAGCTGCAAATATGGAAATATCATGGTATTAGATGAAGTAATACATTACTTCGAAAACAAATGGAAGTAAAGAAATGCTACTCAAAAGAATGTCATACATAACACTCAACCAACTATAAGGTCTGTATAAGGAAAAGAGAGGAAATGATAAGCAAATCCAGTCCAAAATACACGAAATATATCGCAGACATATTTGAATCTATAACTGCAAACAAATATGAAAACACTGAATTGAAGTACATAGCAAATCACAAACCCTTTACCCCAACTCCTAGGAAAAAATATTCATTTGTTGCAGAGAAAGATAGAGAAGTAGGTGCATAGTTAGCCAAATCCTGACAGACAAGATGCTTTGGTGGGAGAGTTCATTAAATACAAGCGATTGAGACAAAAACATCCTTGTTCATACATGCGTGTTCTCATAGTCATTTGGGAATGATATACATATCTGAGCCTTTGTTTGTAAACTTTGGAAGCATACAACATAACATGTAAGTAATAAGTAACCTAATTCCTTCCTGATGTATCATATAAAAAAAGTGCAAACCATCTAATGTGTAATGTAGTCCAGAAATGAAGAAGGAAAGAGGCAACTGAGAGCAGTGGTTCACCTTCTCTGATCTTGCTAATGATTTATCCATTTCAAGCTTTCACCATTCTTGTTGAATCTTTTTTCCAAATTAAGTTGCTCACATTAATACAAAACTGAATCTATTAAAACAATTTAGTTTACTAAAAATAAAAAATAAAATCTTAAGTAAAGAAGTTAACATAAATTTCATTCAATGCAACTTATAAAGAGGTTAACTATTATTGTTATGTGATATTTTCATCTTTCATTCCTCTTTAGGGTTTAATAGTAACATGTTAGATTTTATCTTAATAAAGAGTAACCATAAAAGATTATTTGTGAAATTAAGGATCTAAATTTGAAAACCATAGAAAAAAATATAAATTTAAGAATTGATAGAGTATTAATTCTAGAGAGAAGCGAGAGCTAGAGAGAGAAAGTGAGTAATTATATTTCTCAAATTGGAAAGGAATCCCCATAATTAGCCCCTTGGGGTCTATTTATAGGTAAAAATGCAGATTTGGGCCCCTAGCCTTGGGCTTAGGAGGCCCATTACAATAACCATGCCTTCTTTGGGCGAATAAGGCCACTAATGGGCTGAGTACAACACTTAGTACAAAAATAGGAAAATACATTCGCCCGGACGAAGTCCGGACGATGCGGTCCATGGACGATGCGGTCCACGGACGACGCGGTCCATGGACGACGCGGTCCATGGACGACGCGGTCCACGGACGATGCGGTTCATAGAAATCAGGCGACATCTTCTCTCTTGGACGCTACGTGCCTCTGGGCGATGCGGGTGTCCCGCTGGTGTCTTTTGGGCCGTTGAGTATGTGGGCCATGGGGTCCAGGCCCATATACTCTATCAGGAGTCCCCCACTCTCTGAGCTGAGGTGAATACCGAAGCGAGAGGGAGTACTTGTTCCTTTCTGGCTGGCCGTTGCGTGAGTCTAAGGCGTTTGATGGCCGAAGAGTTCCTGCTTTGATTTTTTGATGAAGCGGTTTCCTTATTTGATGTAGATGAAGCGTGCTTGGAAACTCATAGCCTTGATGCGGGCCGATGCACACTCTGTGGAAGTGCATTTGAAGACGAGGCGATGCGCTTTTCTTCTTTGTAGATGGTGCGAAGAATCCTTGGTGGATAAGTTGGCATGCTTTCATTGTCACTTTGTTGGGGTCGAAGAGCTCCCATCTATCCTTTTGGCCGTAGCGAGGACCTATTTTCATGAGATGGAGATGGTCGATTCTGTCTATGTGGACGATGCGATGCGCACCTTTGTTTTGTCATGCGGCCGGAGCGTTTTGATTTGTGAGTTTTTTGTTATGGTGAGACGACGCGGTCCTCTCAGTGTACGTAGCCGTTGCGCTAGATTTTTTTATCTTGGGGTTCTAATTCCTGGGCTCTGTAACCGATGCGATCCCCCAGTTCTTTGTTGTTGGCAAGCCGTAGCGCACCCTTTTGTATTAAGGCCGTTGCGTTTTCTTTTCTTGTGGCCGATGCAGTCCCCCAGTCCCCCACTCCTTTGGCCGAAGAGCATCTGAGGCACAAGGGAGTAGTGAGCCGATCCGGTGCCTATGCGTTAGTCGCGACTCCAACCCTTAGGCGAACCTGTCCAAGGTAACCCTGTGGGAGAACCCTTGGACGAAGGCCGCAATGCCAGGGTTATCATCGACGATGCGCGCACAGGCAGCCGTAGCTGTCTATCTAAGGTTTTCTGGGTCTTTGTGAGGACGTAGAGTTAGGCCGATGCGTTCCTTTTCCGGCCTTATGGGCCGACGCTTGCTTTGAAGCTTGTAGTAGTTGGGCCGTAGCGGTGTTCAGCCGATGCCTTGTTCTTTGTAAGGTTGAGTTGGGCCGTAGGGGCGCTTGTTTGAGTGATTCTGAATTGGTGTCCCTTGATTGGTAGGGAGAGAGGTGGCCGTTGGTGGAGCCAATGGGGTGGCGCCACGTGTAGTGACCGTTGGAAGTTTTCTATAAATACCTCCCTATTCCGTAGCCGCTACCCTATTTGCGTTTGCTAGAGTTGAAGTGCTGCTGAGATTTCTAGAGAGATAAAGTGCTTCCCAGAAATCTTCAAGTGTTCTTCGGATCTTCACCCACTCCAAGGTTAGGTTCTTGAATTGTTCTCCCTTTTTTCTTTATACTTTGCTTCCTAGGGGGTTAGATCTAGTGTTTCTAGGAAAAATCACTTTGATCCTCGAACAACCCTTAGGACGTAGCATAGTTGTTATGCCGTTCCCTGACGGCCGTAGCGTCCCCTCCCCTCTTAACTTAACAGCTTCTTTAGACGAGTCGGACTGGCCTTTTGACGACGAGGACCCGTCTCCTGGAGTGAATCTTGAGATAGTTCGAGCGTTTGAAACAGAGATGGAGAATACTGCCGATTACCGCACTTCTCAGGACGAGGAGCGTCTGAATGATGATGCGGGTTCCCAACAATCGGGCGAGGACGAGGCGAGTTCTGAACCCAAGTTTCGCGGGGACGGGGCGGGTGATGCCTCCTCCGCTGCTATCCCATGTCCGCCGCCTATTTCATCTGTGCCAGGTGGGGCGTCGTCTTCAAAGGTCACCAAGAAACGCGGGTCGCGTCGGAGGAAAGCTGCGGCTGGTGGGCGTTCTCAGTTAGACTTGACAAACCTGTATATCATAAGGCCTGAAAGCACCCGAGGCGAGTACCATCTGGCTCAGCTGTATGTTGGGCCTTATGGGAAGGTGAGGGAGCCGAGACCGACTGATCATGTTCTGGATCCTCCTCCTGGGTACTTCGGGGTTTATCCGATGGGGTTCTCGCAGGGACTACGGTTTCCGTTACCCCCTTTTGTGATTGAGTACCTGAATATGGTAGATCTCCCTCCGGCGCTCTTGACGCCGAATAGTTTCTCTCTGATCGTCGGGTTCCTCATCCGGTGCGACGAGCTCGGCTTTGAGCCCACGACGGCTCTTTTTTCCAATTTGTTCCGGATCGGCCGAGGGAGCCATAAGAACTGTGCTGGTTACGCTACGCTTCAGCAACTCCCGGAGAAGAAATCCTTTAAAGACCTTCCTTCGTCTATCCATGGGTGGAAGGCAAAGTTTGTGTTCGTGAAGTTGGCCGACGGGGTTTTCTTTCCTTCGCAAGGGCATAGTGGTGAGTTTAACCTGCACAATCCGCCGCGAAGCGCTGAGCTTGATGCCCAAGTTGAGGCATTCCTGAAAGGTGGGCCGAGGAGTGTGAACACGTATATCACTGAGTTTAAGATTGCAGCTCTCGGGATGATGCGGTACTACATTCCTGGCGACCCTGATTGCGGTTTGTGGCCGAAGATCTCTGGCTCTTTTGAACTGGCCGACGGGCCACTTATAGGGATTCCGGCCGAAGCCGAAGGTTGATAGCTTTTCTCTTAATCCTTGTGTACTTAGTATTTTTCTTTGCTTCTAACTCTTTCTCCTTTGGTGTCGTCCTTGCAGGTTACGAGATGAGTCGCAAAATGTTCATGGCTCAGGCCAAGAAGCAGGTTGCTAAGGAGTTGGAGGCTGCCCAGCGAGCCGAGGCGTCCAAGTGTTCTGGCGACGGCTCTAAGAGTCTTGCCGATGCGGCAAAAAAGCCAGTGGTGAAGAGGAAGAAGGCTGCTGAGGGCCAGCGTACCCTTACTGAGACGGGTCTGGTGCCGGCCGAAGGCGCCAAGAAGACGAAGCCGAACCCTCCTCCCAATGACGCTGCTTTGGCCGACGCGCAGGCATCGGTCCCTGGGGGAGCTGCCTCTGATGTGTACGTCATTGAGGATCTGACGTTGAACGTCGCCTCGTCTGCCCTGGTTCCTACTAAGTCTGGGGCTGCTGCAAAGAAGAGTGCCCGTGCTGACCGAGACCTGACCTCCGGTCTTTATGAGGTGACGGTGCGGTATCCGCCGAAGGGCGGTTTATTCAACGAGAAAGTTTCCGGGCACGACGTCCTGTTCCAGGCCATTCCCGATGCCGATAGGGAGTACCTACGTCGGCAGAGCAAGGATGTGCGGCTCTTTGATGGTGGATTGGACTACATCGTCCAGGTAAATTTTTGACCTGGTACTTTGTAATTTTCGTATTCCTTCTTTTTCTAATGCTACATGTTTGTGCAGGGTGCCTTCATGCTCATGGAGCAGCAGCGGCGGCAGGACGAGGAGCTTGCTCGCCTTCGCGAAGCTGAGATGAAAGCCGCCTCTGCTGACGAGGCGCTTTCCCAATTGGAGCGGCTTCGGACTGAGACTGCCTCCTTGAAGGAAAAAGCTGATGCGGCTGAGAAGAGGGCCGTTGTTGCTGAGGACGAGGCGAAGCGCCTCAAGGTTCAGTTAGATGAAGAAGCGGCTGCCCGTCGGCTAGCAGAGGAAAGAACTGTGAAGCTTGAGGCCGATGCGATTGCAGCTGCCGATAAAGCTATTGAGCTTTTTATGGCCGAGGGGTGGAAGGACGAGGCCCGAAGCGATTGGACTTTCAATGTCGTGGCGGAGCGCTTTGAAGCGTGGTCTCAGGAGGAGGCTGGCCGAGCCCGCCTGAAGGAGGAGTTTGAAGTCTGGTATGACTTGTCGTCTGTAGTTCTCCGCTCTGAGGTAAGCCATCTCCCGCCTTTCATCAATGAGGTGCAAGTCAATCTTCATGGCTTCTTCATTGGCTTCGGGGTCGTATTGTGTGACCCGTCGGCTGGGAAGCGTCACCTCAGTGGGAGCCTTGGCTTCGAAGCCGTAGCACAAAGAGAATGGTGTCTCCCCGGTGGCCCTCCTCGGCGTAGTGCGGTAGGACCATAGGACGTTGGGGAGCTCGTCGACCCAACTTCCGCCTTCTTCTTCGAGCTTCTTCTTTAGTCCCTCCAAGATGGTTCTGTTGGCGTTCTCAACCTGCCCGTTGGCCTGAGGGTAGGCAACGGAGGAGAAGCGGTGCTTGATACCCCATTCTTGGAGGAGGCTTTGGAACGGTTCGGCCTCAAACTGGGTGCCGTTGTCTGATATGATTTCCTGAGGCACGCCGAAGCGGGTGAGGATGTTCTTGTAGACGAACTTTCGACACCGCGCTCCGGTGATGCTTGCGAGTGGTTCGGCCTCGACCCATTTGGTGAAGTAGTCGATGGCGACGATGATGTATCTGTTGTTGCCCGCAGCTCTTGGTAGAGGGCCGACGAGGTCGATGCCCCATCTGGAGAATGGGATGGTAGTGCTGACCGGGGCGTAGTTGACGGCTGGTCGGCCAGGTGCCCTTTGATAGTGTTGACATGCGCTGCATTTGCGGGCGACCTCAGCACAATCACGCGCCATCGTCGGCCAGAAGTAGCCTTGAACGACGAGGCGGCGCGACATGCTGAAGGGCCCCTGATGTGATGAGCATACGCCGCAGTGGACTTCTTCCATGGCCACTTCGGCCTCATTCTGGTGTAAGCACCGGAGGAGGGTGCCGTTGTATGATCTCTTGTAGAGCTTGTCACCCTCAATGACATAGCTTGGGGCCCTGAGCTTGGCTAGTTTGGCCCTCTCCTCGTCTTCTGGTAGCGTGCCGGAGGTGATGTAGGTTGCGATGTCAGTGATCCAATCCTCCGGCTGGTGTTGGATGGAGAGTATAGGGCTGGCGTGAATGCTTGACATGCTCAACTCCTCCACCTTAGCTATCTTGGAGATGTGCTCAGGGGTGTCGGAGCTGAGTTTGGAGAGTATGTCAGCCTCGGCGTTCTCTGCCCTTGGGATCTGAGTGATCTCGTAGGTATCGAACGCCTTGAGCAATTCCGCAGCGGCCTCCTTGTATTGCTTCATCCTCCCTTCTTTGGCCTCGTAGGAACCCTCCATCTGGCTCACTACGAGTTTGGAGTCGCATTTGATTCTGACGTGGCGTGCTTTGAGGCCAGCGGCTAGTCTGAGTCCGCTGAGGAGCGCCTCATATTCAGCCTCATTGTTGGATACTTTGAAGTTGAAGCGAATGGCGTAGTATGCTCTGAATCCTTCTGGGGAGATGAGGACGACGCCACCCCCACAAGCTTTGGTGGCCGAGGACCCGTCCGTGTACAGGGTCCAGGCTTCGTCTGGTTCGGCTCCTGTAGTGGTAACGGCCGTCTCCCTTGCCGTGCACTCGGTGACAAAGTCAGCCAAGGCTTGCCCTTTGATGGATGGCCTCGGCTTTATCTCAATCTGGTACTGGCTCAAGAATATTGCCCACTTGATCATCCTTGGGGAGCTGGTTGGGCTCCTCATGAGGGCGCCCAACGGCTGATGCGTGAGGACATGGACGGGGTGAGCCTGGAAATAGTGCCCCAGCTTTTTCACCGTGTGGATGATGGCAAGCACCGTCTTCTCAATAGGGGAGTACCTGAGCTCGGCCTCCCGCAACGTCTTGCTGACGTAGAAAATTGCTTTTTGTACCCCGTCATCCTCTCTGATGAGTACGGAGCTGACGGCCGACGTGCTTACTCCCAAGTAAAGGAAGAGAGTCTCGCCGGGCTAGGGCTTGGATAGGACGGGTGGGGAGGCGAGATATTGTTTCAGCTCCTCAAAGGCTTGCTGACACTCCGTCGTCCATTTGAAGCTGGTGGCCTTCCTCATTATCTGGAAGAAGGGGAGCGACTTCTCCGCGGATTTTGAGAGGAAACGGTTCAGGGCCGCGAGGCGTCCCGTCAGTCGTTGTACCTCCTTTATGTTGCGGGGTGGCTCCATGTTGATAATGGCTTGTATTTTCTCCGGGTTCACCTCGATGCCCCTTCGACTGACCAGGTACCCCAGGAATTTACCTCCCTGGACGCCGAAGGTGCACTTCTTTGGGTTGAGCCGGAGGTTGTATCTCTTCATGATCTCGAAGATGCCCCGGAGGTCGTCGGCATGGGTTGTGGATTGTTTGCTCTTGACGATCATATCGTCGACGTATGCTTCCATCGTCCGACCTAAGACTGCTCTAAAAATCCGGGCTACCATCCTTGTGTAGGTGGCGCCGGAGTTCTTGAGCCCAAAGGCCATGACGAGGTAGCAAAAAATTCCCTCCGGGGTCATAAAAGCAGTCTTCTCCGCGTCATCTTCGTGCATGGATATCTGGTGGTACCCTCTGAACGCGTCGAGGAACGACATCAACTCGCACCCCGCCGTCTCATCCACCAACTGATCAATGTTGGGGAGAGGGAATGGGTCCATTGGGCACGCCTTGTTCAGGTCAGTGTAATCAACACACATTCTGAACGTAGGCGGCTTTGGGGCGAGGACGACGTTCGCCAACCACGTGGGGTACTTCACCTCTTTTATGTGCTTGATGGAGAGCAGCATGGCCACTTCGGCTTTGACGAATTCCCTCCTGTCAGCTGAGAGGTAGCGTTTTTTCTGTTTGATGGGGGAGGAGGCCGGGTTCACCGATAGCCGATGTGTGATTACTTTTGGGCTGATGCCCGGCATGTCCTCTGGTCCCCATGCGAAGACGACGGCGTACGCTCTCAGGACAGAGAGGATGTCCCTTCGAATCTGTTGGGGGAGCTGTGTCCCAATCTTCAGCGTGCGTTCCGGCCGGGAGACGTCCAACGGAACATCCTCCACGTCTCCGACCGGTTCGGCCTTTGGTGTGTCTTCTTCGGCCGAGGCGGTGGTGATGGTGTCTATCCGCTCCTCGGCCTCATTGATCTTCCTTGTGAGCTTCAGGTAGCAAGCCCTGGCTATCTTCTGATTTCCTCTGGCGTAGCCGACGCCGTCCTTGGTGGGGAACTTGAGGCATAGATGTCTCATGGAGATGATGGCCTCAAGGTCCTCCAAGGCCGGCCGTCCCCATATCATGTTGTGGGCGCTGTCCAGGTTGACAACCACGAACTCCATGTCAATCTTTGCCTGACAGGTACCGTCACCGACCACAACGGGAAGCACTATCGTGCCCTCGGCGTCGATAGAGTCCCCGGTGAAGCCGGATAACGGAGTCCGTATCGGCCGGAGCTCGGACTTCTTCAATTTCAGTTGTCTGAAGGTGTCAACGTACATCACATTGACAGAGCTGCCAGTGTCGATGTAGTTGCGGTGGATGATGTTGTTGCCAATCTCGCATTTGACGACGAGAGCGTCCCTGTGGGGCAAGGGGCCGAAGGGGAGGTCCTTGTCGGTGAAGGTGATGGCTTCCACATGCTGCCGCTTCGGCTGAGGGGGGGCGTGGGTCACCTCACCAACATATAGGGACTGAGCCCATTTCTTCCGTTGGGTAGCCGAGTCCCCCCCTGTGTTCCCGCCGACGATGATGTGAATGTGATGCTTCTTCGCGCGGGGCTCCTCTTCGTCCTCATCTTCACTGAGGGCGCCGATCTCCCTCTTTTTCCCGGAGGATCCTTCCCCCCTTTTGCCAGGGTTAACCCAAGTGTTACTCTTGGGGGCACCCTTGACGAATTGGGAAAGTTCCCCCTGTCGGATGAGGCCGTCGATGTGCCTCTTCAAGGTGGTGCAATCCTCGGTCTTGTGGGATGTCTGGCGGTGGTACTTGCAGTATGTCCCTCCTTTGTGGACCGCAAATATCTCCTCCTCTGACCTGGGGTCCTTCACGATGAGGCCCTGCGCCTCGGCGTGGTCGAGGACGACGCTCACCGGGTGGGTGAGGGGGATGCGCTGTGCCTCCAACTTTGGGCGCCATGAGCGGTCCTCTCTCCGCTGTCCTCCTTGCTCCTGGTGTGCCTTCTTTGGCTGGTGCTGTCCCTTGTTGGCCGGCGGGTGGTGGGGGTTGGACGAGGAGTCCTTCTTTTGTTGCTTCTCCCCACCCTTCTTCTGGTTCAGGAGCTCGTCGGCATCAGCGTGCCTATCTCCGCGTCGGAGCGCCGCGAGGTATGACCGCGGCGGCTCCGTGAACAGGCTCCGGGCGAAGTGGCTAGGCCGGAGTGCTCCGCGGAGGAAAGCCAAGAGAGTGCGCTCGTCGGCCCCTTCACATTCGTCCGCCTCCCTTGTCCAGCGATCGAGGAAGGCTCGGA